TTTTCCATGTGGCCTCAGAATCTTCAAGGTGCGTTTTGGCGAAGCTTAGTTTTGACTGCATGTGGCCTTTTTTGAGGAGTGGCTTTTTTCTTGCAACCCTCCCATACAAGCCACATTTGTGTTTGTGATATTGTGATATTGTTGTCACATGCACACAATGACCACTCTTTGTCATAAATTCCTGCAACTGCTTCAGAGTTACTCTTGGTCTAATAGACTTCACTGTGCTTCTAGGCATTAATAAAGCCTTTGAAATGTTTTTGTATCCATCTCCTGACTTGTGCCTGTCCACAACTTTATCCCGGATATCTTTTGACAGTGCCTTATCACCCATAGTTGATTGTTTGCTTCAGTTGCACTACCAAAGACTGAAACGCTCCAGGAAAGCTCTTCTCATGCTGAGCTAATCAAAATGACCACAGCTGATCACAGTTGAAAGTCAAATGTGTGCCATTGAGAAGGTGATTAGCTACACCTGATTGAGTTTACAAGTCATTTTTAGGAGGGGGGTGATCCTTTTTCCTTTTTTAAATTTTTTTTTCGGACATAATTTTTTTATAACAGTAAATACAGCTTGATAAAACAAAAACCATGTCTGTCTTCATTTCAGGCTGCAAAGCAACAAAATGTGATTATTTTAAAGGGGGGTCATTCTTTTCTATACATGTAGATAGACAGACAGACAGACAGACAGACAGATAGATAGATAGATAGATAGACAGATAGAAATTGGTGATTGATTAATTTACAGGCTGAATAAGGCTTTTTGCATTTACAAAAATATTTCAGATAATTATTAAGACAATAGTTGAGAGAACCTAAAAATCTGAATACTGTACACCAGGTTGCGTTAAATTTAAAGGGTTAGTTCACCCAAAAATGAAAATTAGGCTGCGTTTTACTCACCCCCGATGCATCCTAGGTGTATATGACTTTCTTCTTTCAGACGAATCCAGTCGGAGTTATATTAAAAATTGTCTTGGATCTTTCAAACTCTATCGTTGCACTCAGCGGGTGTTGCATTGCTTCTGTCCAAAAGACGTGAAATAAAAAGCACCCTTCCATTAAAAAAAGTGTCTCACACGGCTCCGGGGGGTGAACAAAGGCCTCCTGTAGCGAATCGATGCATTTTTGTAAGAAAAATATCCATATTCAAAATGGAATAATCACTTGAATCTAGCTTGTGCTCACTGTTGTAAAACAGAAGCAGTTCCGGGGGAATTACGTATGAGGTCAGCTTTGCGCATGCGCCGCTCAGAAGTGACGCACGCGGAGAGATCGAAACAAAACAACGGTCACTAATTAGAAGTACAAAACGAGGATTTGTAAAGAAGAAGGTCGGAGGATTTCGATATTAGCCAAGAGGAGACTTGCTTTCCTTTGCTAAAGTAAGGAAACTTTGCTTCTGTTGATCCTGTAAACAAACGTTGGTTTTCACGAGACGCATGTGCAACGCTGACCAGAACTGCTTGCGTTTTACAACAGTGAGCGCAAGCTAGATTCAAGTGATCATTACGTTTTGAATATGGATATTTGTCTTACAAAAACGCTTGGATTCACTACAGGAGGCCTTTGTTCACCCCCCAGAGCCGTGTGAGGCACTTTTTTTTATGGAAAGATGGAAATCTTTTGGACAGAAGCAATGCAACACCCGCTGAGTGCAATGATAGAGCTTGAAAGATCAAAGACAATTTTTTATATAACTCCGACTGGATTCGTCTGAAAGAAGAAAGTCATATACACCTAGGATGCATCGGGGGTGAGTAAAACGCAGCCTAATTTTCATTTTTGGGTGAACTAACCCTTTAAGTTTTTACTGTGTATAAAATAGGCTATATTGTTAAAACTTAGCTTAACAAAATTTTTTTAAGACCACAGGGAATATACGCAGCAGCAGCAGGTCGGGCTGTCGCGTCATTGCACACGATGGTCATGCTCCAAGCATATCAGGCTGACCTGCCTTCACAAAGTTCGTGGGTAGGGGTAGGAAGAATCGCGGGTCAAAGGAAGGTAAGTAAAAGACCTAAGGGATGTGATCCAGACAGGGCGTCAGCGCTTTTGTCCTTCACGAAGTCCAGGTCTGAGCCCGAACAACCCGGGGGTCTTACATCTGCCCTTATCTTCACCTACCTAATTCCCCTGTAACCACCATCTCTCCACCTGACCGAGGTTAGGTGGGAAATTTCCTGCAGTATAGTCTCCTATGCTGGACCTACTAGGTTTGGTTGGTTCTATGGCTTCATAGTGACCATCTTACTGATGGTCTGCTCTAGAGACTTCTACGGACAGAGCTCTTTTCGGCTTCATACTTCCTGGATCATGCGGCCATAACACAGGCTTCTGCGGGAGCCTTCGTGATCATCAGGCCCCCGGCTTGCCTCTCCTGTTTGGCCCAGTACTTCCAGGTATCTGCAAATAGATGCTTGGAAAACTCTAAATCCAAACACTATGGTAAGTGCACACGTTAAGCTTTGCACACTTTTCTACATTGCCCACTTTCTAAAATCCACATAAGTGGTAAGTGTGCACGTTATGCTTTGCCCACTTTTCTAAAATCTTGTATGGTAAGGGTTACATGTTATTGATCTCGTTCCCTTTCCCTAAGTTGGTATAGACCCCGGTACCTTGGGCTCCACTCAAGGACACACTCCTCTCTGTCGAACCACTCTGGAAGCATCGCTCCTCTCACCATTGAGGGTTATTGTGAGTATGGTGCTTTCTTTCGAGCGTTAATCCTCTCTGAGGAGTTGGATTCCTCGCTCGATGGGCTGTCCTCGTGGTAGTATTGAGCAGTGCTCCCCTTTTATCAAAGGGTTACCTGGAATGAGCAACGTTATTCCTCTGAATTCGGAGTTATCCTCTCACATGAGAAGTTTGAGTTCTCTGTTTCTCCAGAGCACCAGAAACCAGAAACATCAGGTGAATTAGGCCCTTCCTCTGCCTCCCTGATGCGCTTGGCTAGTGTTTGGCTAGCATGCAGTATGCTTACCCTTCTCCAGCATTATAGCCGTAGATTGACTTGATGACTTCTCAAGACATAGAGTTTTGGGAATGCGCTATTTGCTATGTATTGGCTATCCCTAGAGGACGCAGTGTCTCCTTCCCTACTCAGGGAACCATGGTTACATAAGTAACCTGAGACGGTTTTGCTTATGTGTAGTTTCATTTTATCATAAACTTAGAATGAACTTAAATTTAGAAAAATTAACTTACTGATAAATCACAATATCTGTGTGAAAACATTTACATGCAGATTTTACAATGCTAATGCCAATGTATATGGGATACAGTGGTGAAGCGCAATGAAAATGTCACAGGAGTCAGGCAGGGAATAAAGACGAGTATCATAGGAGTTTTCATATCCTAGATTTACAGTATACCCAGTGCATTAAAAGCCAGTCTTACCTTGATGAGCACAGAGCTGGACTGGGATGGGATGACTGACAGCTGCTGCAGAAGACCCTGTGTCATTGTGAGGCTGTGTTTCAAACTCGCATTCTCTGCTGATAAGCAAAGCACTCTTTTTTCTGAGTCTGTTACTCCCTGGTGAAAAAAACACACACCAAAAAAGTCACAGCTGACCTGGAAAAAAGTATCTGATGAAACAACCCAGATAAACTCTTGGTCATGAATCATTTTGAGACTGTCTGGTCTGGTTTGTAATGTGCTCAGTTTCAAATGCAGAGCACTAGAAAAGATTCTTCCAGAAGCTTACCGATGCAACTCTGAGTTTGGACAGCTCCTCTTCTCTTTCTTCAATACAGCTCTTCAGCTCATCAATCTACAGGGACAAAATCAATGCAGTCAGCTTCGAAAATCTGGGTGAAGGGGGGGTGAAAGTGAATTATCAAATAAATGGATGAAATGTGCAGCCAACAGAGTACAGCAGAGCTTAATACCTGATTTTGAAAACCCAAAATACTTTCAGGATCATTGGTGTAGTCAACATGCTATTAAAACACTAAGTGGGTTGAATGAGCAGATGAATGGATAGAATCAGTGACTGAATGAATAGAGGGAAAGTATAATGCTGAGCACCTGCTGTTGGAAAGCCTGTACTTTAGTATGGCGATCTCGTTCTCTCTGCTCAAGCTGGGAATGAAGCAATCGCAGCTCTCCTCTCAGCTGACTCTTCTCTACTTGCAGCCCGCATAGAGACTGAACCAACTTATGCAACTTAACCGGAGATGCTGCAGGAAGCATGCAGTCACCCACACACACACACACACACACACACACACACACACACACGTCATAGATGTTTAGTGGAATTTCAAAAGTACACTGAAAAACTGTACAATTATTTTCACTCAGAAATTGCTTGTAATCTTCACAAAAAATGACAAAGAACAGCAAGTAACATTCAATTTTAAAGTAGACTGAAATAGAATTTTCTTGTCAAATGTACTCCAATAAACTTTGCTTTATTTAAAACTTCATTCTTTATAGTGTAACTTATTCATCTGACTCGAGAGTCATTTGGAAAATAATTATAAACTTGACTAGATACTAGACATTTGAACAGTGCCTGATTCTTTCTTTTGGAGGGATCTTAAAACCCTGAAATGGACTTATATTTTCTTTGCCAGCTTCCTCTCAAGTCACAGCTTGAGGATTATATCTATAATTGCAGTGAAGGGTTTTTCATGATGTAATTATACAGAACTCAAATATCTGAGGATAAAATGAGTGCAAAGATTTGACAATAACACTGACTTTAAAGAACTTGAGTATTTAAAGCAGCAGACAGCATAACTGCAGAACTAATAAACAACGTTTGGTGTGCATTGGTGTGGATGCTAATAATATTTATTATCTGTATAATTATCATTCTTGGTGTGAACAGGCCTTTAGACACAAAATAGCCATAAAATAGTTGTGCATTTCCATGAATGTGTTGGTTGATTCACATTGTTACTTCTGGGAGGCCAGATGCCAGACACACAACTGCCATGAAGATGAACCAGATCAGATAGCTTTCGTCAGAATCTCAGACCTCCTTTAAAACACCTCTGGGTTTAATATAGCTCAGTAAATCCTGATGGCATTAAGGATCATGTGCATCCACTGAACTACGAAGACAAGTACACCTGACATTGAATTAGTGCAAGAGACGTGCACTTTAAACTAATGCAGTGTTTAATAGTGAGTCTGGTTGATAGCAAACCAGTTATAACAGGTGACAGAGGAACACCTGGTGATGTCTGAGGAGAAACAGACCGCCAGAGAGTCCAGATGCCCTCTGTACTGTAGCTCTGAGGTCACTGCCAGTCTCTAAAGCCATCTGGTTGCTATTTTTAGCACTTTTCTCCAGTGTTCTCATTTAAAGTACAATTTTTAGCTGTCCACATGATGTGAACAGGTCCTCGCCTCTTTTACCATTGATGTCAAACTACAAGATTCAGAATCCAACAGCAAACATCAAATGCCGTCACCTTGATAATACAATTCTTCTGAACTGCTATTTTCTTATTTTCTAACCTAAGAATAAAGTTAGGATGATTAAATATAAAAAAAAGGAAAAAAAAGATGTATTTTTTCTTAAGATTGTTCAAAAGACAAATTTTAGTTTTTTTTTAGGAATCTGGTCGCAAGTTTTTTTTTTGTTTTTTTTTGTGGAAATGAACAGCATCTTTGTCAAGTGAGCCAGAAATATTCTTTTAACTTAAAGGCTGATACCTTCAGACAGACCAAACAGCAGGGACAGAGAAAGATTTTAGCATCCTCCAACAAATAAATATCGAGGTAATAGCGGCATCTAATATTAAACTCCTTATTATTCACAGATAAATCTTCACATTGAGATTCTGTTATTTCTTTAGGTTCAAAAGGTCTCACCCTCATTTTCAGACGATGGGCTCTGCTGCTGAGCGATCACTTCCTCCAGGCTGTTAATCACACTGTTCTTGTCTCTGAGGCGCTGGCGGTAGGAAGCACGCAGGGCCTTCATTTTCCGCCGGTGCTGGATGCGGTGTCTGCGCAGCTGCAGACGGTACTGATCCGCCTGCTGCTGCAGCTGTTGCAGATGGGAATATTGCTCCAGGAAACTCAGGAGGTGTGACATCACAGACAGCAATGGAGACTCTGTCACCTGGAAAATACACCTGGATCAATTATTTAAAGGGGTCATATGATTACAAACATTATTTTGTGTATTTGGTGTAATGAAATGTGTTTATGCGGTTTAAGGTTCAAAAAACACATTATTTTCCACATACTGTACATTATTGTTTCTCCTCTATGCCCCGCCTTTCTGAAACGCGTCGATTTTTACAAAGCTCATCGGTCTGAAAAGCGAGGTGTGCTGTGATTGACCAGCTATCCAGTGCGTTGTGATTGGCCGAATACCTCAAGCGTGTGACGGAAATGTTACGTCCCTACCATATTGTGATGCCCTGTCCGGCCGGAGCAACGAGACAAAAACATTAAAACCCATTATAACCGAGGCATTTGTTGCATCCAGTGGGGACATAATTACTGATTATAATGACTTATACTGTATTTTTACACATTGCATCGCACGGTGTAAACATAAAACCAAGTCTGCATTTGTGATCGGAGAAATGACAAACAACAAGCGCTACTCTACACTGCTCAAAACTCGCGTTTGAATCGTCAGTGGCAAATCCTTTAAATATGAAAACGATCAGCACAGAACAGCCGGCATTGTAGTCTACTCCACCAGGATCAGGAAACAGTCCTCCATAAAATGCGCTGCACACATCTGAATATTTGGGTTGAACTGTTCTGGAACAGTGTTGTAAATACAACTTAACAACTGATTTCTAGTCATGTCCTCTTTTGGAAGACCAAACAAAGTAGTTTCGCTTTCACAACGAAACACACAGCGTCTTCATGACATGGCGGCAGCAACAATACTACAGCGAGAATAAAAGTTACTCCTTGTTTCTTTGCGTGAACATTTGGGCGGTGTTATGCAAATCTTCCCACATCGTGACGTAGATATGTGGGGGCGTGTTAGAACGAGCCGTTTTAGGTAGGCGTGGTTGATTCTTAACTTTTATAAAGAATATCTCTTTGGATTTGAGACTTTAGTCTTTGCAACTTTATAGATCTTATTTATGCACTTGTAACACTTCAAAGAGAAAGGAAAAATTGAAATCGCATCATATGACCCCTTTAATAAAAACTGTGCACTTATAAATTGTTTTTTTTTTCACGTTCAACTAGATTCTACACATTCTTTTAGAAAATGTGACTAGTGTTCTTCCTTTACAAAATTTGTTGTCACAATGCTAGGGTGTTGTAGGTGGTTGCCAGAGCATTGCTAAACAGTAGCTAATGTGTTCTGTGAGGTTGCCAAGGTGTTATGAGAGGTTGCTAGGGTTTTGGGTGGTTACTTGGTGGCAGGGTTATTTAATCAAAACTTAAACTAAAACCATAAACCATCATTCATTTCCTGAAATAAAAGAAACTTTTACAGACATAAAATTGTGTGTGTTATATATATATACATATATATATTTATTTATTAATTTATAAATTAATACAATTTATAAAATAAAATGTATAAATTTTTTGGTAATGAAAATGAGGCTCCAAGGGCCATACAGTACAATCAATATTCAGCCCCATTTTACTTAATGAAAAAAAATTAAATATGACATCCATCCTGATTAAGGTCTAATGAGGTCCTTGACTTGGGTCACTGCAAGTCTTTTCTGTAATTTTATCAAATTTGCTTATTCTGAAATGCAATAGCACACTTCTTCAAGCCACAAAATTTGAAGTATCATTCATTACCATGGAACAAACTGTGCAGTATAAGATGTGTGCCAAAGCGTCAGTTTACCAAATCACCACCACAATGAAATGTGGGCAAATGTAGATGTAGTTAGACCTTTCCACTTGGTTCTGCTGGAGAATTAGTAGCTCTTCTCTTTTCTGCCTCTTGCTTGAAAGACAGGAATGCTGTTAATGGTGTTTTGGCAGGTAATCCATGACCTTCATCAAACTCATCATCTTCATCACTGAGGGACATCCCATCACTATCACTACTGCTGCCTGAAATTTAAAATTCAATTGTGGTTGTATACTGATTACGTGGAGCATCATCTCTGTATTTAGATCATCATGTAACTAAACAACATTATGGAAACATTCTTACTCGAATCACTCAGACTTGCACACCCTCTTTTGCCCAACCTGGGGGTGTGGCTACCCTTCCCCTTGCTCTCTGTTTCCATGGAAACATGGCTAGGCTCCTGTCAGTTACAGAGGAAGATTAATGTGATTATTGGAAGGTGTTAAAGCCACCCCTGAGGACATACGATACGTGACTGTGCATGCGTGTATTATCGAATTATCACCTTAATGAAATCTAGTTTCTATATTGCCTATAATATTATACTTTATATTAAATATTATATTGAATAAATAAAATTTTATAAAAACATTTATGTTATATTTCAATTTATTTGATTAACATTTGATTATTTTTTACTTAAATATAAAATTAATATTTAAAAAAAAATCATTAAATTTTTCTAGCAAGACTTGTTTGCACACATTTTATGCAGACAATAGGGAATGCATATATTAGCATGTCTATCGGCGTCTGTCCGCTGTGGCCACACATACCTCCGGGGATTCTTTGCGCGCCCCCTCGAGCGCTGCCTCCTCCTCCTTTTTGAAAACAGTGTAGAAAATGTAGACCAGCAGAGAATAGAAGGCATACATGTTTCCTGAGGTGCAGATTTTACAACGACAGTGACTGGAAATAAATGCTTTGGCTTCACAGCATCCCTCTGCTCTTCTCACTGGAATGCAATCAGACAAGTGTTACTAAACCACTGTTCCAGAAGCAAATCCAGCACAAGAAATCCAGTCTGGATGACATTTCCATTGTCGTCAAGCTCCACAGAACGATGCTATTCCCAATGTTTTGCAGAGTCTTACCATCTGCTGAGGTTGATCCTCAACAACTGCAGTTACTGCATTCTCATTCTTCAGCTTTGAAGCTCTACATGGTGATTCTGCAGGAGTGTTTGTGCCTGTTCATCGGTATTTCTGGGATTTGGATGGCAACACCAGCTCTTGACTATGCATATCTGTCCAACCTGCTATTCCTGGCTTCCCTTTTCCCCTCCGTCTTCTCCTCCTCTCTCAATATCCATCTCTCTCCTCCCCCTTCCTCTCTCTCTCTCCTCAGCAGTGTTTGAGCGCATTTAGCGCAGCGGTGCCGTGCACTGCAGTGGTTGGGTAAAACTAATGGAAATTGATGAGAGAGGGAGAACAGGAAGTCAAGTGCTCAACAAAGCACTCTGATATTGCTATATTCAATGTGACAACCATAGAAAGGGATTCTATGGTGATGAATCATAAAGAACCAAAAGTGTTTGTTCCTTCCTTAGTTTCTACCACAGCAGGATTGTGAATTAACACAGACTCATAGAGCTTAAATTATGTTGATGATCTTTTGTGCCTGTAAGCAGAATACTGTGGTGATAATAACTAGATTAGAACTTGGGAACTAAGGTGTTGAGGAAGGCTGCCAGAGTGTTGTTACATGGTTGCTAAGGTGTTCTGAGAGGTTTTAGCATGTTAAATGATTTCTGCTGTGTTCAAGATGGTTGATATGTGTTAGGTGGCCGCTAGGGTGTTCTGGGTGGTTGCTTGGTGTTTGGTAGGGTAACCTAGATTATTGCTAGGAATTTGCTAGGGCAGTGGTTCTCAATTCTATTCCTCGAGTACCGCCGCTCTGCATATTTTGCATGTCTCTCTTATTTAACAAACCTGATTCAGATAACCAGCTCATTAGAAGAAAGCTCCATGCACGAACTGTGTTCCGATTGACATGGTCCCTACAAAGTGTTCTTTGCTTCTGCGGGTTAAAGCAATCTTCCAGAATGTGATTTCGGTGGAGGGGAAAAAGGGGGAAAGGGGAAAACCGACAAAGAGGAAAACTTCAGAAAAAACATGATTGGGCTACTTCTGTTTGATAGACCTGGCAACCCTGATGACAGTGAAAGGCGGCGAGAGAGGACCAGGCCTGGGACTTTACATAGTTGTTTTGTTTACATTTATTCGTCAGTTTGTTATTTATGTTTATTTTGTTACTGAAGTTACATTACGCTATGCTAGGGTATGCTAAGTTATTTATAGATGGTTGCTAGATATTTGCTAGATTGTTCTGGATGGTTACTAGGGCTATAGTTGTTTTCTAGGTTGTTCTAGATGGTTTCGTGTTAGCGTGTTGTACACATGATACGTATAGGTAGATTCCACATTTAACCACTCCAGACACGTTGACACATATGCCATCTTGGAAAGGTCAATGTGTTGTCACTTACAATAAAAATCAATGAGTTTACCAATATGCCACAACATTGCAAAGTCTCTGGTTGTAAAACAAAATACATTCCCAAAGAAATGGGATAAACTTTCACAGGTGAGAATGTGTTGGTTTGTGGTTTTAATATGCATTAAGTCAATATTACTGTTTTTTTAAACTATGGAAACTTTTAATGTTGTGTTAGCTAACAGCTTCGTCTTGTTGTATTGCGCTAGTTTACCAAAATCATCTGCTGAAGTCTATTGCAGATATAAATCATGCATGCCTATAACTATGGTTGCAGACACATAGTCAACTTGCTCTCAAGTGTTCACGGACCAACTTGGACTGTTCCAATATGGCGGACGGCTTATGTTTAGCAGCCCATAGAAAGAGCTGCTAATAAGTCATCTTTGTATACTCTATCTATTCTAGATAGATGCTACTGTAGGTGTTTGCTTGGATGTTCTTGATGTTTGCTAGGGTGCTCTAATGGTTGTTAGGTGTCTGCTAGGCAGCTGCCTAGGGCTGCTTTCTTCTTTTCTTTATACTTAATTTTAGGCGGTTTCTATAGTGTGATCTTAATGACAATGTCGAGAGCGCATAATGTTATGCAATCCATGTGTGCGAGGACGAATCTCTCCACTCCCAAGCAGATTTCCTTCACTCACACAAAACTGGACGTGTGCTTTTAAACATTGTTCTTTTATGAATTGGCTCTGCTCTGTCACTCTTTGTTTAGTGAGTGTACACGATGTATTATAACATACATCGTGCCCCCGACTGGCCCCCCCCCATTTAAAATGCTCTAGAAATGCCCCTGCCTAGATGGCGGCTATGTGTTTGCAAGGGTATTCGAAAAAGTTGTTAAGTGTATGCTGAGGTGTTCTAGATGGTTTCTAGATTGTTCTGGATGGTTGCTAGGGCTAGTTGTTTCCTAGAGTATTCTAGAGGGTTGATAGGTGTTTCCAAGAGTGTCCTTAATGGTTGCTATGGTTTTCTAGCTAGTTAATATGGTGTTTTCGAGGGTGTTTTGGATGGTTGCTAGGGGACAGGTGTTTGCTTGTGTGTTTTGGATGGTTTCTAGATGTTTGCCAGATGTGCTAAATGGTTGTTGGGGATAGATGTTTGCTAGGGTGTTCTAGATGCTTGCTAGGTCTTTGCTAGGGTGTTCTGGATGGTTGCTAAAGTCTAGGTGTTTGCTATTGTGTTCTAGATGGTTGTGAGGTATTTGTTGAGGTGTTCTAGATGGTTGCTAGGATGTTCTGGATGGTTGCTAGGGTCTATGTGTTTGCTAGAGTATTCTACGTTGCTAGGTGTTTGCTACAGTGTTCTGGTTGGTTGGTTTGTAGGTAGGTGATTGCTAGGGTGTTCTGAGTGGTTGCTTGTTGTTTGGTAGGGTGTTCTGGATGACTTTTTGTGGCTGGGTGGTTGCTAGTTGTTTACAAGTCAAATGAGCCCACTTGCAAGGCTCTATGATATCCCAGCCCTTAGTTACAGCGATATCTTGCTAATACATGTGATATTGGATTTTTTTTTGTCAGTTTAATTGTCTACTAGGCAAACATAAGGCATGAAGGGTATCATTTGCCTCTAAGTTTAATACTGAGGGTCAGTATTTTTTAAAATTTATGAGCAAAAGCAATTCCACAGTCAATTGCAGAAGCAAAACCAAGAGGTACCTCCCTTAGCTAGTACCACTAAACTGAGGCAGAAGTAGGAGGGTATTACAAAAAAAGGTATTACATGTAAAGGTATTACAAAGCACTGCTACTATAATATATTTAAAACTGAAGGGACACTTTATTGACATCAAGCTCTGTCTGATTATACAATATTTTCCAAAGTGCCAGGGATAATCATCAATCAGCATGAATAAAATGCCTTATGCTCAGGCCTCCAGGTTGTTTAATGCAGACTAAAATGGACCATCCTCACCATGTTCCCCTTCCCTATTACAAGTGTCATAATATTGAAGAAATAAAAGTCTTACGGCTAATGTAAAATCATATGTCAATGGAGACTTCCTAAAAGAGTTTTACATTAGCGTTGATCTACAAGCATTATCTTGGCCTGTGATTCCCATGTGTCTCAAATCTGAATCCAGATTTAAAGTTTAAAGTTTAAAAAAATATTTTTTAAATATTAAAAATTTTAATTACACAAGTTAGCGACTTATTCACTAAACCTGCTAATTCAGTTTGAAAAAAATCTAACTAAAAATAAATTGTAACAGCATACACTGTTTATTTTTCTGTGCTTCATTGTTTGAATCAACCTGTTCTCTGCACAAACATATAATACTATGTATGTTTAAACCACTGTTGTCAGATCTGAGATCTCGCAAGAAAAACGAACTACATGTACCCGCAGAGCAAAATATCTTCTTTTGTGTTCAGCAGGAGGAAGAAATTATGATGAATCGCTTGTTCTATTCCTCATTTGTAAGTCACTTTGGATGAAAGCATCTGCTAAATGAATAAATGTAAATGTAATGTAAATGCAGGATGAAATGTAAATGTTCATGCAGGTTTGGGTGAGTAAATGATGACAGAATTTTCATTTTTGGGTGAACTATCCCTTTAAGTTGCATTTCAGAAAACATCTTTTTTAATAATTATATCATTTAGAATTTTTTTTTATGTTTCACATATATAAATGGACATTGAAATCCATTAGTAAATTCATCAAATGCATTTACCAAAGTTGCTCATAATGAATGGACATGGCAACACTGGTTTAAACAGAGTCCCATTCTTTCTTTACAAATACTTCATTGTTGAAGATGCTAAAACAATTTATTCATTGCTCATGGATTTTACTAGCCCTCCATGTCAGTGTAATGGATTTAATGTTTACACAAATCACTCTATTATTTGATTACAGATGAAAAAAAACTCCAGTTCCTGTAGTACAATACACTCTAAAAAATGCTAGGTTAAATACAACCCAGTGCTGGGTAAAATAGAGACAAACCCAGCAATTGGGTTGTTTTGACCCAGCAGTTGGGTTACTACCCAGAAGGTTGGGTTAAACATTTAACCCAACCGCTGGGTCAAAACAGCCCAATTGCTGGGTTTGTCCCTATTTTACCCAGCACTGGGTTGTATTTAACCCAGCATTTTTTAGAGTGTACAATATAATGTTAGCTTATTAAGGCAGAAGGCCTTTACATGCAGTAACACAGAGTGTATATGCCTGATAATAACCTGAGAGTAAGAAAGTAGCATTTTGTGGTTTTCTGTTGTCTTTGGAAACCATTGCTTACATCAGTCCCAGCCTTTTAAATCAAACAGGTATTTATTAAGGGCCTTCCCAGTGGTCCAGCATCCTAATGCCATGATGACTTTAAGGATCCAGCTGAGAAGTCCTTCTGTAGGCAACATGAGGGAACCCAAAGATCCAGATATGCTCCTTGGGGAAACTAATAAAGGGAGACTGAGTGCTACACTCCCTACTGCCCCTGCTGCATTTTCAGCAAACGCACACACTGTCAGCGAACAGGAGAGGGTGGAAAAGGCCAGGCAGCGTGACATAATGACCAACCCATCTGACGATAGCCAATCAGAGAGTATTACAAAAAAAGTAGAGCCAATCAGGAGGATACGAGCAGTGATGTGGTCCTCACTTAGCCACAAGAAGTCAAAAGTAATGAGCGCAGGACCAAGTGATTCACCTGCCCATTCTACATCGTTCTGGAGTGACTTGACAGTTTGATTACTGGGAGAAAAGACTGAAAGGACAGAGGAACAGCCAATCAGGAGGAAGCCCACCGATGAAGCTCTGTGGTCCTGTTAACAGAGAAAGAAAAGTCATAACAGTGCACATGCATCTTACTAACAGTTTATATAGAATCACTGCATTTAAGACATCAAATGGATGATTACCTTGAACAACCAATAAGCAGCATGCAATGCTGAGACAGACAAAATCATATATGTCATGGCTGTGGTACACTCTCTTATTAAATCCATCAATGCCCTATGAACACATAAAACACAGATGCATAAATCAGTGCACTTATAAGTGTGCACTGCACTATGAACATGATGTTTAAGTATAACATCATTGAAATACAAATACAGTTATAAAGGATGTTTGTAACTACTGCCACAACCTTGCAACAAACTTGCATGTAAAAGACAGCTAAAATGAAAACGAAAAATGCACCATGTATATAAATATAGTAATGCTTCTACAAATTAAGTTACTAACTAATAAAGTCTGGATAATGTACTCTCTGTAGCGAATAAGATTGTCACACTCTACCTGAGCAGCGAAGTCTTTCATTGTTCAGCGTGTAATAGCAGACATAGGAACTGCAAAACGTCAAGCTACTGAATTAAGATTTAAATCAAAGTGGTTGTCGTTATGTTGTGATGTCAAAGATTGCGCTCAGCATCTGTTTATCAACAACTCGAGCGAGCACAGGAAGTGTGTGCAGTTCTGCGTTTAGCTGTGGAAGAGTGTGTTGTAGCGGACGAGAGAGGAACAGCACCAATAGTCAAACTGGTGCAGCACTCAAGTGATTTTCCTCATTGAAGTATCTTCACATCCTGACAGCAATCAATAATTAAAGTGGTCTAGATATAAAAATATACATTTGTGACTTCTGTGGAAGGCACAGGACCATAAAATGTTAGCAGTGCTTTTACAAGAGGGAGGAATTTGATGGAATGGGTTTCAGTCTACACGACGAACTTGTGGAGTTTCTTCTCGACAGGTAAGTTAAGCTAAACTTCAAGTTAAAGGGGTCATATGATGCGATTTCAATTTTTCCTTTCTCTTTGGAGTGTTACAAGCTCTTGGTGCATAAAGAAGATCTGTAAAGTTGCAAAGACTAAAGTCTCAAATCCAAAGAGATATTCTTTATAAAAGTTAAGAGTCAGCCACACCTACCTAAAACGGCTCGTTCTAACACGCCCCCACATGTTTATGTCACGATGTGGGAAGATTTGCATAACGTCGCCCAAATGTTCACGCAAAGAAAGAAGGCGTTACTTTTATTCTAGCTGTAGTATTGTTGTTGCAGCCGCCGTCATGTCGTGAAGGCGCTGTGTGTTTCGTTGTGAAAGCGAAACTACTTTGTTTGGTCTTCCAAAAGAGGACGATATCCGCTTCGTCATGCCTGGAGCTGATCCGTGCTGGTCGCTGAGGAAATACAACAACATCGCGCTGTGGATCGCCAGATCGGCTTTACCGTGGACGAAGTGATGTAATCGGACGGAATTCATTAATTCTAAAAAAACAAAACAAAAATGCAAAATGCCTTTGAGTGGTTGGCCTATGTTAGGGGTTAGTCTTACTTTTAAGGCTGGAATAATGTACACTACATGACTTTTGCCCAGATTTACAGTCTGGAGCATTTGACACTAGTTGCCCAAAGTCAGAGCAAGTCACTAATTTGAGTTGGCAAGTTTCATAGAAAGTCGAGTAGTGTATGATAGTTACAGACTTTTTTTTAGCTCTAGACTATTAATCCATCCAGTCATGTAGTGTATTCCAGCCTTTAGTTAACTACTGTATATATCCCCTCCCCCCTTTTAATTTTTTCTAGAACATAACCCTGTTATTTAGATAGCTAAACTAAGTAAATGTGTGTGTGTGTGTATGTGTCTGAGGGTGCTTGTCATTTCCTAAATTGTGCATTCATGTTTTCTCGCTCCTCTGACCATCAGCCTGTTGAAATTGAGATATATATACACCCCCTGAAAGCTGAATAAAGAAGCTTTCCATTGATGTATGGTTTTTTAGGATAGGACAATATTTGGTCGAGATACAACTATTTGAATATCTGGAATATGACGGTGCAAAAAAAAAATCTAAATATTGAGAAAATCGCCTAAAGTTGTCCAAATGAAGTTCTTAGCAATGCATATTACTAATCGAAAATTAAGTTTTGATATATTTACGGTAGGAAATGTACAAAATATCTTCATGGAACATGATCTTTACTTAATATCCTAATGATTTTTGGCATAAAAGAAAAATCAATAATTTTGACCCATACAATGTTTTTTTTGCTGTTGCTACAAATATACCCTAGCGACTTAAGACTGGTTTTGTGCTCCAGGGTCACATATTTAAACAAAGCAGAGCTGTCGAATATCACAATCTCTTTCTTCACTTTTCTGGTATTCAGGTTATCAATGGAAATATTTTTAAACCCCTCAAACCTCCTACCTTCTGGTTGGTTGCTTGCTTTGGCGTCTCTTTGCCTCAGTCTGTCCACAGAGTTGGACCACAAGCATCCACAAAATGAAAAGTAACAGCACCACACTCACCCCTGAGAAACACATGCTGTTGATTCTTTACTGAAACCTTTCTGAAAGCTTTTCTTTTACTCCCCCCCCCCCCTTTATTAACTTACTCCTCCTATCCTGCTTCAATCCTCATGATTGAGTGTTGCTTCTCAATGTATCTTCTCATCAAGGATAAATAAATATGATCCTGACCTTAATCTCAATTTTATACTCTCAAAGCAAGAAGAGTGAACCACTAACATAACGGTTTGATAAATGATATTACAGGTTACCAAATGCCCATTGGCTTTATGACCAACACAGTTTCTATTTAGTCAAAAAAGGAAATACTTATAAATAGTGAACTCTAACACTAAGTTACTGTGCATGCTATTGTATAACCTTTACTGCCAAGTTCCATGCTGATATATTGATGCAAGGCGTTGGATGCAAAGACCCCATTCATTGCAAATAAAGCAGTGATTCAGCATAAGCTCAGAAATATAGTGAAATACAGTTCCCACCCTGAAAAACCAATCAAAGAAGTATAGTGTCAGGTATGGTGGAATCTTGTCTATAATAGCCAAACCACAATCTAAGAGTTACTGTTAAACCAGTCTGCTTCAACTGCCATTTTATCAGAATTTGGATAATTGTAAAAGGATTTGCCTGTAAAGCAAAGTTACGCTGTAATAATTCACTGATGGGTTCATTATACAGATATTAACGTAAATCTGACAGCTTGACACATGCAAATACTACTTATTCTTTATTTGGCTTTAATTCTGGATTTAATAAATTATAAATAATATTATATATAAATGCAATATCAAAAAGACACAATAAAATGATAAATATGTAAAGAAATACTAAAAATAATACACAAAACTCACTTCTGAATCCAGGACTGGTTAGTACTTTGTTTTACTGATTTTGTCTACATATCGTAAAACATCAAAAGTAAAACAATTTCATAGAGAGGAACTCTAAACCAGTCATATGAAAGGATTTTAAAAAAGTACCAATAGTAGACAGTGCAGTTATTCCAGTAGCGGAAATGTTAATATCAATGATGGACCTCCATTAACACAAGTATATTGACACATGCATAAAGTCTACATAACATTTAAAAAAACACTTTATATTAACTTACAAAGGTTGTTGGGATTGGAAGTTGTTTGCATATTTACTTTGTGTGCATGTTTTTACCCTATATACAGTATTGAAGTAGCAGTGAGTAAAAGTTTGTACAGTGTATTTGCAGTATGTGCACTATTTACTCTGTAGATTTAACCTTGGGTTGTTGGGGTTGTCAGGATCATTTGACTGATATAGGAGGGTCGAAGCTTCATCTCAGTAAATGGGAGGGATGCATCTTTGCCCTTCCAATCTATCCACACCACACCCTGAGAGACAAGAAGAAAAAAAAAAGACTCAGAAATCAGTGGATAGTTTGCGACTTGTGCCCCATTGGTGTCTCTACAATGTCTATAGTTTGATGCTCTTAACATTGTACTTTAAACCTAAGAAGAATGAAACGTCATACTCTAATGTTTGAGCTACAGAAACACTACTGTCTGGTGATGCAGTACCTTATTGTCTGAGTAGGAGGCATAGAGGCCGTTGAGGTTTGCCATGTAGCAATTTTTATACCACCAGCCTCCCATGTAGGCCTTAGCGCAGGGAATGCTAAGTGTGTTTGGGTCTTTGTCTATGGTGGAGAATGGACGGCCGTTGTGATATTTCGTCGACCTGTGCTAGCTCTAGGACTATTCTTGTGTTTTGCCCACCATATACCTGTTTGCCCTCATCTGACCCATGCCTGCTGTATGACCACGTCTCTGTCTGTGTCTAATAAAGCTTTGCGAATGGATCCGCAAGTCTCACGTCTCGTCAGCCCCGTAACAGAAAAGTTACGCTGTAATAATTCACTGATGGGTTCATTATACAGATATTAACATAAATCTGACAGCTTGACACATGCAAATACTACTTATTCTTTATTTGGCTTTAATTCTGGATTTAATAAATTATAAATAATATTATATATAAATGCAATATCAAAAAGACACAATAAAATGATAAATATGTAAAGAAATACTAAAAATAATACACAAAACTCACTTCTGAATCCAGGACTGGTTAGTACTTTGTTTTACTGATTTTGTCTACATATCGTAAAACAAAAGTAAAACAATTTCGTAGAGAGGAACTCTAAACCAGTCATATGAAAGGATTTAAAAAAAGTACCAATAGTAGACAGTGCAGTTATTCCAGTAGCGGAAATGTTAATATCAATGATGGACCTCCATTAACACAAGTATATTGACACATGCATAAAGTCTACATAACATTTAAAAAAACACTTTATATTAACTTACAAAGGTTGTTGGGATTGGAAGTTGTTTGCATATTTACTTTGTGTGCATGTTTTTACCCTATATACAGTATTGAAGTAGCAGTGAGTAAAAGTTTGTACAGTGTATTTGCAGTATGTGCACTATTTACTCTGTAGATTTAACCTTGGGTTGTTGGGGTTGTCAGGATCATTTGACTGATATAGGAGGGTCGAAGCTTCATCTCAGTAAATGGGAGGGATGCATCTTTGCCCTTCCAATCTATCCACACCAAACCCTGAGAGACAAGAAGAAAAAAAAAGACTCAGAAATCAGTGGATAGTTTGCGACTCGTGCCCCATTGGTGTCTCTACAATGTCTATAGTTTGATGCTCTTAACATTGTACTTTAAACCTAAGAAGAATGAAACGTCATACTCTAATGTTTGAGCTACAGAAACACTACAGTCTGGTGATGCAGTACCTTATTGTCTGAGTAGGAGGCATAGAGGCCGTTGAGGTTTGCCATGTAGCAATTTTTATACCACCAGCCTCCCATGTAGGCCTTAGCGCAGGGAATGCTAAGTGTGTTTGGGTCTTTGTCTATGGTGGAGAATGGACGGCCGTTGTGATATTTCATGGAATCACCTGAAAAAAAGACAAAATATAGAGAGTCAGATTGTCTCAAAAATGGCTTATTTCATACAAAGTGTAATTGTTTCTCTTACCAGCAGTGCCAAAGTATCCAGACAGCTCGATTACATAGTGGTTAGCCTCTGAGCTAACTTTGAAGTTGGCATAATGAGCAAAGGCCGTGTCATTTCCTGAACACAGGTCAATCCGCAGGCTCATTGGTGTACGACTGGTGAGAGTATGAAGGATGTCATTTCCTGTGGAGAGAGGGTGCAAGAATGTAATTCAAAGTCCCTGCAACAGTTAAACTGATATTATTTAGATGGGGACCTGGGATATATATATTTATTTATTTCAAAAAAATAATACAATCACTGTGAAAAATCTCACCCAGCCAGAATTCCCCACTCAGGAGACCAAAGCCTTTACTGTAGTCTCTCCAGCTCCTGAAGAAATCAGTAGATCCATCCATTCTCCTCTGGAATACCTGCATTTGTAAAACAACAAAGTCTTACTCAAATCCAGAAAAACATTCAGTGTTAAAAACTTTAGCCACATATCAGTTCAGTGCATTCTCCATGTCAAAAAAAAAATAAATGAAACTTGTAAATTTTGTGAAATCTGTTTGTGGTTTAGAATTTCGTGCACAAAATACAACTTTTGTTTTACAAAATACATTAAAGAGTATTCGTGAAAAAGAAGTGCACTTAACTGTATTGAATGCGCAATTGTAGTTTACTATATAAAAATTTTTTTACTGGCACATAATATAATATTAATGAAATAAAAGACCACTTAATTGTACCTAAAGGGAGTACACTTTAATGTTTCTTAACACACTTGCACTTTGTAAAAATGTCAATTGTAAACTAAGAAGTGTAAAAATGTAAACGCTTTATTTTACTTATCACCATTAAATCATTATTTTTTTAATAATCTTTTAAGCATAGCGTTAGTTCTAGCAGGTCACGGCAGTCAGTTTGACTGTCAGTTGATCCACGCCTTCCTATAGTAATACAATGCCTATCGCAGCATCCATATATATAAGGTCTATTCAGTATTAATCAGCAGCTTATCATATTGCTCAGGAGCTAATTACCCTCCTCCATCCCCAGCTCCTCCTTTCGTCCATAGTCAGGACTTGGCCTTCTTATATTCCTTGTTGAATCAGACTCTTTTAGCTTGAATTATGTTGTTATATTAAATTGTCATTAAGAACATTAATGGTATTTATTATGTTGGTTCTTTTCGGTTTACTCTAAGAGAGTATCACTGCTCTCCCTGTTCTTATCCATGCTAAACTACATGGATGGGCACAGAGTTTTTGCACAGAACAGAACCATACTGCCAGTCCAATCTGTGTGTTAATTGTCAATCATGTTTGAAGATAGCGGTCCTGACACAATTATTTTGATTAACATGCAAAAGCACATGTAAAGTAGTTGATTATAATTTGAACAATAGTGTGTAATTCAATATTACATTTCAAGTTAATATGTTTTAAATGGACTAAATAGCTATTTCATTACAAATGTGTCAACTGATCTAATAACTGATAATCTGCTGATAGTTTTGATAAAAGGCTTTGTATGAGTTTTGGATTCAAAATTTGCTTATGCTTTACATGCTTATCAGACTTCTCTGCTTGGAGAGTTGTTGTAACATTGATGCGCAATAGCTGCTTGTCTTTTTCAGTAGATGGAACATTAATAGTCCTGCTTTCTTTCGCTTGATCACCTGCAGTTCTCATAGTGACCTTTGTCATGGACATAGTTGCATTAGATGATTCTTTGGTGCCTTTAAATCCATTCTCTAGAATTTTGTTGGTTCCATTTAACTTCTTCACAGATCTTTGAGTCTGATTCTGATAGACAGGCTCATCTTTAAGATTATTTTTCTTGGACTTGTCAGTGAGATGAGTTTGTGATTGTTTGTCAAAATCCAGTTTTATGATTGCTGTTTTGCCCTCTTTAGCTTGCTCTTGACTCTTTGTGTTATTGGACTGGACTTTACCAGGATACACGGTTGGACTTGGCTTCACTGTTGGCTCGGCTGTGGTGTTTTTCTTTGGGTCGATCTTTTTCACGAATATGGTCTTGTCTGGCTTTGCCTTCACAGGTTTTGTATCAGGATTGGCAGTGGGCATCTTCATAGTCACAGTTTCAACAGTTACTGCGATCTTCTTGTCAACAGCTGGGGAAATCATTTAGAGAGGGACTTACAATACATTCTTAATTGAACAGTTCAGCCCAAAATGAAACACAACATTTAGCAAAATGTACCTGCTGCTCTTTTACTCACAATGAATACGGATTGGGTCTAGGGTCAGTTAAAGGTGCAGTAAGCGATTTCTGAGAAACACTGTTGATAATTGAAATTGACACCCAAACAAACACATCCTGTCAGTGTCAATAGCCTCATGGGCAGCTTCACCGATATTTTGCACTATTGCGCTTTGGGCACCCTGAGTTTGAATCCCGGCTCGTGGACCTTTCCCGATCTCGTCTCCTCTCTCACTCCTCTCATTTCCTAGTGCTTGCCTGATTGTGACCCTTCTTTTTCCAGTTATAATCCTCTGACCTTTTCCTTTTCAGTAATGTCTCAGCCATCTCTCTTTTTACAGTTTTTACACTAATTTCTTCACTCATTCACTCTCGTATATGCCCCTTACTGCTGATTGGCTATATTGGCAGAGCTATGTTGTGGTGCTCTGTCTGATCAGTCCAATCCACTTCGTTTTCCCCCTATTTATTCAGGTCTATGTACAAACAATATTTTTGTTCTGCACAGACAGGACAGACAACTAGCAAATATTTACAAAATAGCATGTTTGGGTGTCAATTTTCAACAGTGTTTCTCAGAAATTGCTGACTGTACCTTTAAGATCTAAAATGATAAAAAGCACCATAAAAATTATAAAAATAGTTTATCTTTCACACAAATTTCCATCTGTTGCTCACATTAGGACTTAAAATATTAGGGATAGCATATAGATCATATGGACTACTTTTATGATACTTTTATGGTGCTTTTTTAATTTTTGGAGTTTGTCAGCCCCTCGTCAAAATTAACTTTCATTGTATGGAAAACAGCAGCATGGACATTTTGCTAAAATTATGCTTTTATGTTCTATGAATTAAAGAAAATCATGTGTTTGGAACAACATTTCTGAGTAAATAATGATAACCAAATTTTCATTTTTGTAGTGAACTATTCCAGTTATCATTAAAGTTTAATATGTGTTGGACTCTCGTATGCTTTACTTACCCTTACTGCAGTCTAGGCCTGTATAACCAGTCTGACACACACACTTTCCCTTCACACACTTCCCTTTTCTGTTGCAGTTAGAGGGGCAGGTTTTGCCACTGCAGTCTGGGCCACTGAAACCCTGGAAACAAACACATCTTCCTTCTTCACACTTGCCCTGGCCACTACAGTTTTTAGGGCATTGCTCTCCTGAGCACTGAACACCTAAATATAGACGGTACAGTGTGTGAATTATAACCTGTTCATCCAGTTAACAGTTATTATACATTTTAGATTGTTAATGCTTGTTTACCAGTGCCATTGTAATGGTTAACTACATTTTAGGATCTTTATTATTGCATAATTTTACTTGCACATTTTTTTAATTGCTGCCATCTCCTTCTCAAGAAATTCAACTCTGTCCCTCAGTGTGGCCATCTCAGTCTCACAACCTCCTGTGCAGGCTCCTTGTACCAGGTTGATGTGATGAGTCATAACCAGAGGAGATCCAGGATTCAAACTGAGCTCCATTTCTCGTACTTTGGTTACATTACCTACGTTTGTCTGAGACTCTGTCTGTGGAACACAACCGCCAGTGATGACTATAACTGGTGAACTCTCTGCAGGTTTGTCTTTAGTTGGATTCTGGACTCTATCCACCACAGGCTTTGCAGTAGATGCAACACTCTGATTGACATTGCTAATTTCTGAGGAAGGTGATTGAGTTTTAGTTTTAATTTTGGTATTTAATGATGTAGTTACAGGTTTTGACAAATTTACGTAAAAAATTTGGGGCGTTGACTTGACAGTAAATGTTTTCTTCTTGCTAAGTGTGATTTCATCCACAATAGACTTTGTGGTGGATGGGAGAGTGTGATTGCCACTGATCATTTTTGAAGTAGACTGAGTTTGTTTTTTTGTTTTGGCGTGTAATGATGTAGTTAATGGCTTTGACACATTAACATTAATATTTTGAAACAATGATTTGACAGTAGAATATTTCTTCTTGCTAAGTGCGCTTTCATCCACAACAAGCTTTGAGGTAGATTGGAGGGTCTGAGTTTCTGAGGAAGTAGGATGGGTCTGGTTTTTCATTTTGGTATTAACTAATGTAGTTAGCTTGGGAACAGTATGACTAATAGTTTGAGCCGTTGACTTGGAAGTAGAATTGTTCTTCTGAAGAGAAGGCCCAGGTTTCTGGACATCTACAGCAGGCTTTGGTGTGGATGAGAGAGTTTGACCAACGTGACTGGGTTTTGAGGAAGCAGAATAAGTTTGGTCTTTCATTTTTGTGTTTGCTGGCTTTGAAGCATTAACATGAATAGTGTGGCCTACTAACTTGGCAGTAGTGTTTTTCTTCTCGCCAGTTGAGGCTGGATAAGAAGACACAGGTTTCTGGACAGCATCTACAGCAGGCTTCAAGGAGGATGGAACAGTTTGATCAATGCTACTATTTTTTGAGGAAGTAGATTGAGTTTGGTTTTTCATTTTAGTCTTTAATAATGTAGTTACTATTTTCTCAACTTTAAGATTAATAGTGTTGACTTGCTTAGTAGTAGAATTTTTCTTCTCAGTAAGTGTGTTTTGTATAGTTTGCACAGGTTTCTGGACGGTGTCCACATCAGGCTTTGTAGATGATGAGAGAGTCTGATTCACTCTGTTAGTTGTTGAGGAAGTAGTTTGAGATTGGTCTTTCATTTTGGTCTTTAATAATCTAGTTGTTGGTTTCTCAACATTTATAGAGTTGACTGACTTGGTGGTAGAATTTTTCTTCTCACAAAGAGTGTTTTGTACACTTTGCACAGGTTTCTGGATGGCGACCACATCAGGCGTCATAGATAATGGGAGAGTCTGATTCACTCTACTAGTTGTTGAGGAAGCAGATTGAGTTTGGTCTTTCATTTTGGTTTTTAATAATGTAGCCGCAACTTTAATAGTTTGGGCTGTTGACTTAACAGTGGAATTTTTCTTCTCACTAAGTGGGTCCTGAAGAGAAGGCACATGTTTCTGGACAATGCCTTGACGCTGATTGACATTGATAACTTTTGAGGATGTAGATTGAGTCTGTTTTTTCGTTTTGGTGTTTAATACTGTAGTTACTGTCTTTGACACTTTAACATTAAAAGTTTGGACTGTTGATTTAACAGTAGATTTTTTTTTCTTACTAAGTGTGCTTTCATCAGCAACCAGCTTTGTAGTGGATGGAAGAGTCTGATTGACGCTGCTAATTTTTGAGGAAGTCGGATGAGTCTGGTTTTTCATTTTGGTATTTAATGCCACAGTTACTATATTTGGAAGATTGGGACTACCGGTGAGGGCTGTTGACTTGGCAGTGGAATATTTCTTTTCATTAGGTTTGCCTGGAAGAGTGGGCCCAGGATTCTGGACACCATCTATAGCAGGCTTTGTAGTGGATGTAGGTGTCTGACTGATGCTGCTAGGTTTTGAGGAAGTGGGATGAGTTTGGTTTTTCATTTTGGTGTTTGATAATGTGGTTACTGGTTTCTGAACATTTAGATTAATGGCATTCACTTTTGATTTAGTAGTAGAATTTTTCTTCTCACTAAGTGTGTCTTGAAGAGAAGGCACAGGTTTTTGGGCACCATCCACAACAGGCTTCGTGGTGGATGAAAGAATCTGATTGGCGCTATTACTTTTTGAAGAAGCAGCATGAGTCTGGATTTTCACTTTGGTGGTTAATGTTGTGGTTACTAGCTTGGGAACATTATGGCTAATAGTGTGGTCCTTAGATTTGGTAGTGTCTTTTTTATTCTCGCTAAGTGTGCCTTGAGTAGGCACAAGATTTAGGATGAGGAAAAAAACTATTGAGATTAACATTTTCTTGCTGGATTAAGGTGTCGAGTCTTTCATTCAAATAAATGGTTTGAAATTATAAAATAAAGCCTAAATCAAAATGGCAAAGTTTTGATATTTGTTTCCCTCAACTATCTTACAGGTATTTGTGATTATAATGGATGTGTTCCCTGAGAAATAGAAAAGCTGAGTTAGTTTGCCTCTGCATCCAGTTTCATGTACACATTCATTTATTGCTCAAATTTGTGTAAATAAAATAAAACACATGCCTTTCAAATGTATGTTAGGCTAAGATGAGCCGGGCTGGCTGAGCTCAAGACTGCATTTTTGGAAAAAGCTCTCAAACCCCTATCAGCGGAGGGACTGTACTGCAGCAACAGAGCTGCACTGTCCTTCTCTCACAGGAACTGTATGTCTTTGACTCAACTCTTACATAATCTTTACTTGGGCCAATTGAAAACTGCCAGGCCCAGTTTCCGGTTTAAAAAAATACTCCAGTCTATTTAAGCGCTCACCACAGAAGCATCCAAAAAACTTTTTAATAATCGGACATGTGGTAAAACTTAAAAATCTATTTAAAAAAAAAAGGATAAACCTGATAGTTTTTTTTTATAAATGTTTGTAAAAATGATTACTAAGAACATGCATACATATTAATAAATATACATAATGATCCATAAAATGTTTTATTTTTTCATTATCTAATATCTAACATCTACAATTCTATCTTAAACTGGTCATTATTTTACAATACAAAACATTCAGCCCACTTAAAATAAATGTAATTCTTACTGGCAATTATTGATTATGGCAATGAACACAATGATTGTAGTAATAATGTAATTTCAATAATATCATGTGTAATACAATGTGTCTTACCTGTGTTTGGAGCTGCTTCTGTCCTGCTCTGTGTTGTATGAGGCTCCTTCCATCAGCTTTGAGAAGCTCCTGTGACTGACTGAGATTAATAGAGAAAGAGAGACAGAGAACAGGAGCTGCACTAGCCAAAGGAATCAAATCTCCTACTTAAAGCTTTTCCATACTCCGCCTCCTTGACAATTTACATTGAGCAATTTCCATGCTCCTGAACTGTTTTATGGGTGTTTTTTTCCTGACGAGAAACTCCCTAAACAGTTAACAGTTAAGAGTTTATGAATCTATCTGCAATAAGCAGTCTCTCACCTTTATGTTTATCAGTTATTGCTTTATGTGGCATGAATGCTGTCTGCTGGAATTCTGCATGTTTTTACCAATATAATGGACAATGTCAAACACTAAATGTATAATGTATAACATCATTTTTTCCCCCATGTTACAACCACCAAGTGGGTTAAAGGGACAATTCAACCAAACATCCTGCTATAATATTCATCTTCAAGTTTGTAATAATTGTAAGAATATTGTAAATGTTTAAAATAGCAGCATTTCCACTTTGATCACCATTAACACAAATGTACCATTTCATTTGATTTTGTCTTGATTTTATCCCAATTATTAAAGGTGCAATAGGTGATTGTCTTCAGACACATTTTTTGTTATGCTGGTTGAAAGTCTCTTCACATCCCGATATAACTCATTAAGTTAAGTGGTCTAAATGTATTTGTATGTATTTATATATTCTGTGGAAGGCGTAGGATCAAGAAATGTTCGTCCAATCAAAACGCTCGGTCCGAGCCCAGCGGTTAATCCAGTCCTCGCGCCAGCTCGTTAGAAGTGAGCTACGTGCATGAACTGTACGTGTTCTGATCGATATGATCCCTACACAGTGTTTATTGCTCCCTCCTCCCTGAGCGGATCCTATTAGTGACTAAATTTCTTCTGAATTTAATACATGTCTGATATGAATGTATTAATATTAATAACAATACTATTAATAATGAATCAAGTAGCTAATAAGTTTGAAATGCTGGATTTGACAATATTCAAATTCAATATTCAAAAAATTTCCTGACAGTGTTGTACCCCTATTACATGATAAACATGAAAACACATTTTGTGAGAAAATGGTTACACCCCAAAAATAGGTGGAAACCTCTGTTCGACAGATTTATGTTGGATAGATTTATCTAAAATAATTCCATATACACTTCATTTGACCCTTTCCACAATGATCTGGCTTGAACTTTTTCTTTCTAGCTGAAAGTTTTCTGATGAAAGTTTGATTGTGAAGATCCTCTAGTGGAACACAGAGAGTGTTTGTCATGTCAGCGGATGGGACATGATGAGTGGTCACTGCTCACTAGCGCCCCTGCTTGTATGATGCTAATATCATGCTAAAGCAGGCCCACATCAGTGAGATCACCGTTCTGGTGCTGACCTGACCTTACCCTCTTAGTCAAAGCAGTGCCAAGCCTTGAGCTGTATACACACCTAACAAAACAACCATCTACTGACAAGCATTTCTGGGGATTCATGAGCCAAAAATTATATTATACGGTATAGAGTATTGCCCATTTGTTTCTGTGGAAAACTTTCTATTTACCACTATTTAAACAAAACACTTTAATCCAGTTGTATTTGCATTTGCTTGTAATTTATAGACTTTTTTAAAAACGAGAAATGGTTTCATGAAACAACAGACTAAATATACCTGTGTTGATTAATCTATTTAAATGCACACAAATTATATAAAATACAAATAATACAGATGCTTTGACGCCATTAACAGTGCAAATATACATTTAAGTGAGTAATTACTGAATTTTATAAAAATAATAAAGTATAAAATAAAGTATAAATAAAGTATATATTAAAGTATAAAAATCCAGTCATTAAGTCGTTGGAAAATTCAGTTTATGATAGTATCTATGTTTTGGAACATGATAACTGTTTCAAAAACAGCTTGACCATCTAAAACTGGTTTAACCAGGTGGTATTTTCCAAAAAACAACTTGACCACCTACCATGCTGTTTGATGATTTGTTTGTTTATTGACCCGATGATGGTCCACCTGCTCATGACCAGCTAGAAACCACCTACCATGTTCCAAAAACCAGCTTGACCACCTTTACTTCTTTTCTTTGTTTGCATTTTTGTTTCTTTGGTCTATGATGATCTACCAGCTATAATGACCAGCTTAAACCAGCTAAAAACTAGCACTATGTTCCAAAAGCCAGCTTGATCACCTAAAATGCCATGAGCTGGTTTGTTGCTGTTTTAAAATGCTCTATTAACTTGAACCATTTGTTGGCATCTTAGACCAGCTAGAAACCAGCCTAGCTATCCTTCTAAAAACAGCCTCACCACCTTTTCTTGATAGTAGTTAGGTTGTGGAACGTCTGAGAAGTGACATACTGGACGGCATTTGTCGGTGCAGTGTGAATTAGCCTTTAAAATTGTATGATCAGGTCGTAGGTTTGTTGTCAAAAATGGTCTACTAGCTTGCACCAGCTAATGCACAGCTAGAAGCCTACCAGCTTAATTTAAATATCCAAAAGGGATGTGAAAATCAGATTTTGTTGATTTGATTTGAGTTCTTAAATATACTTTGGGCTGCACCAACATGAAAGTTGGCAAGGTCACGTTGGAAACATCCAAAAATTCAAGATATGCATAACAAGTAAATGAAGGTGATGTTAAAAGATGCAAACATATTCACATAAATACAGCATTGAACTTTTTCCAAATGAAAATATGTGCATTTCTGAGTCGGCATATTTGTTCAGGCTTTACTGATTCAAACGTAGTGAGAAGTTTAATGGTGACAGCACAAACAAGGCGAGCATTGACCTGAGCCTGATTGAAGTAATGGCCAATCCCACCGTGTTGCTTATGTTGGACCAACTCTCAGAGATTAGAATAATATGAGAGCATAAAGCCTGGTTCTGTTCCTCTCCTTCTCTACTCTTGGTGCTCTCACCTCTTTATGTCCTCCCTCCTCCAAAAGATTGAAAGAAGCTTTACTAACAAGGGTTTAACATGCCAAGCACTAATAAACATGACACAGACACATGCATCTTCTTGGCATCCACTGGAAATTGGATTAGACTTCTATTGAAATTATTATTATTTTTGTGACATTGTGATGTTAGGATTGCAAGACAAATTTTAAGTGCATAAAAGTCCACTAGTGTGAATCCCATTTGAACTCATGTCTGAATCTGTCAGAACATAATTAACTCCACATGCATTTAGGATTGCATCATATCTGAATATTTATTATTAATTAAAAAAATCATTTACTGCAGTAAATCATTTGTAACAATGTATCTTTAAGTGCACTTGTCATACTAAAATCAATAAGCAAGTCAGATGTTCGTTCAGTAGCAAAATTCTACAAGAGATTTGTTATACTGATGAATTATTTAGCGTTTTGACCAATTCATTAAAAGAACCGGCTCTTAAGAGTCATTAATTCAATGAATTCATGCATACTTTTTCACCTATATAGTAGGGAAGTAGGGTGTAGGCCTGTATTTATTTTACTCTATTATTTTGTGGTATCCTATGCTATCAATTTAGATTTCAAATGTGTAAGTTGGATAAAATAGGGCTTCTTTTAGGGTGGTGCTATATATTCACATTTATACTGAATCATTTAGAAGATGCCTTTATCTAAATTAAGGGAGTAACACAATTTTATTGTATCAAATACTTTTAGTATTTGCTCAAGTTCTTTAAACAGCGGAACAAGAAACAAACGTGTTTGCATTTGTCTGATAATTATGTAGATATAATTGGAAAGTCCAAGTCTTTGATCATTGATTCTATAGAGCCATAATTTAACATAATGGGTTCTCATCTTATCTCAGTCCATCATTACCATCATTTCTCCACTCCTAGCTACCTTGGGTGCAGTGTTATCTGCTCCTTTTGGTGCCTTCTGAGTGAAGCGTCTGCTTTTTCGCACTGAGTGGGCAATACTACCCACAGTGCAGTTGAGGTTCCTATGGATTCTGTGATGCTCTGCCCTTTCAGCTTCCTCTTCAGTGAAGTGTGCGCGCTGTTGCACACGTACTTGCCCCCCGCCTGCCACTCGCATGCAGATGTTACCGAGTTTACCATGAGCACAGAAGCCCCTCTCACACTCCCAACTGCCAAGTGAAATGAGTCTTCAAAATAATAAATACACATATGCTGGGAAGCTGAATCACCCCACTATAACAAATCAGGTCTCAAAGATTGGACGGACATGAAACACAGTGAGAGGATGTGAAAGAGGCCTCAAAAGTGTGTTTTTTTTATAAGCCTAAATTGATATGTGTTGATTCATCTGTGTGTGGTCACTCTTATGCTGCTGAACTGTCTCTTAAAAACAGAGTGTCTCAAATACCCAAAAGAAAAAAAAAGATTTAGCTTTGACCCTTATGGTTGCTACTGTGATTGTTTCATAGATACTGACTCTGAAATGTTTTGTAAGCACAATTATTTTAAGTCATGATAACAGATAGGCTAAAACATGTGTATGTCATACAGGTTCTCAGTTCCCATAATCTGTAGCATGAAAAGAAAAGCAAGTTTACAATTCAGGATAAATGTAGATTCCTTTTCTGCGATAGTGAGATGTTGAGTAAATAAATTCCCCCAAATTGTAGTGCAGACTACATGTTGCATCCATCAACTTGGTACTCTTTCACAAAATCTTTCAGTTCCTTGCAGTAAAAAAAGTGTGTTTTTTTTATAAGCCTAAATTGATATGTGTTGATTCATCTGTGTGTGGTCACTCTTATGCTGCTGAACTGTCTCTTAAAAACAGAGTGTCTCAAATACCCAAAAGAAAAAAAAAGATTTAGCTTTGACCCTTATGGTTGCTACTGTGATTGTTTCATAGATACTGACTCTGAAATGTTTTGTAAGCACAATTATTTTAAGTCATGATAACAGATAGGCTAAAACATGTGTATGTCATACAGGTTCTCAGTTCCCATAATCTGTAGCATGAAAAGAAAAGCAAGTTTACAATTCAGGATAAATGTAGATTCCTTTTCTGCGATAGTGAGATGTTGAGCAAATAAATTCCCCCAAATTGTAGTGCAGACTACATGTTGCATCCATCAACTTGGTACTCTTTCACAAAATCTTTCAGTTCCTTGCAGTAAACCTTGTTGACTGATGCTCTGCATGTTGAGGCCGACAGCTTCTCCTCAACCCATGTTTTTGAATCCAACAGGTACTGCATGCTGAGAGAGAAAGAGTTCATGTCTGTTAGCTTTAAACTTTATATATTATCATTATATTATCTATGTTAACATATCTATCTATCTATCTATCTATCTATCTATCTATCTATCTATCTATCTATCTATCTATCTATCTATCTATCTATCTATCTATCTATCTATCTATCCGTCCATCCATCCATCCATCCATCCATCCATCCATCCATCCATCCATCCATCCATCTATCTATCTATCTATCTATCTATCTATCTATCTATCTATCTATCTATCTATCTATCTATCTATCTATCTATCTATCTATCTATCTATCTATCTATCTATCTATCTATCTATCTATCTATGTTTTCCAGGACCATACTGACTCATTCTGCATTACAAAGAGTTTTGAGACTTCCCTCCCCATGTTACCACTTCAAAAACTAGCAAGTAGCAAATCATAGTTCCTGACAGGAACACAGCCTATATTTGTAAAAATATGTCTCACCCGAGCATCCCATTTCAATAAGACATTGACTGCTAAATGATGCATGTAAATATACTTACTTTCCATTCGAGTCTTTGGTGGGGCCATCGTTGCCCATGATGAGGTACGTCTTGCCCTCTTTCAGCTCACCCTTGCAGTGCTTTCTCTTGGCAAACACCCGTGTGCTGTCTGTGCTCACGCCAGTGTCTCCCACTGAGGGTCAGAGGTTAAACTCTTAACTTATCTGAGCATATCTGGTTGATTAACAAGCTTAGCAGTGTCCTTTTTATCTAAAATGTATTTTTAAAATGCTCATGTCTTGATCTGTGTTGCTTATAATTACTACAATGCATATGATATGACACTATACTATAATGCTCAGGAAAAAAGGATAACTTACTAAATCGGAGGACCACGGTCACAGATGTTGAATACAGCATAAAATTGCTCTCTTCAGTAACTGAATCCACAATGACTTCAAACACTGTCAGAAAAGGAATATGAATAATTAAAGATCAGATATGCCTCAGACACAATTTCTTAATATCTTATTGAAAATACTTGACCCTCTTAGGTTTTGTTAGTGTTTTTTTGTATAAATATGGAATCACAAACCATAGTCAATGTTGGTGTGATAACAAGCATAATCATATCGGTCCTTTTTGGTGATTTTCATGTCAATTGTTTTCTTCTCTGTGAAACAACCCCCTGATGAAACAGACATTATTACATTTTATAATGATATAAAACTCCAAGCAGTTCTACAATATACGATAATCTGATTATGATATGTTTGTTTGAATGGTAAATTGATTTCTGAGAACCTACTTTCTGCACATTGACACACATCATCTGAGCACAGGACAGAAATCGCCTTACTCCTCTTAGGGGCGCTGTACAGCACTGAACATCTCCGGTCTGTGAAAATCATATGTGAAAGGATATTATATATATAACTGTTTTTTCCCCACAAAAAAAGCTTTGAAATATATTTTTCAAGGTATAAAGTATTCATTCCTTCAGATCATAAATTATTATTTAACAGTTTTTGGGAAGATTACAAGGCTTATGACCTGCATTAACCTTGCCATGTTATAAAAATAATTTAAAAAAAATTATCAAATTGACATTTTAAGAGACTTGTTGACTTTGACACACAGTCATAAGGGTCTGTAGGGGCTTTCTCTATGATATATGCTGTGTTTCTGTCATTTCCTGTCTATGTTTTTTTCTCTGCATGCTGGTTACATCACATGACAAGTTTTTCAAATGATAATAAGCAGTGAAGCGATATTTTCTTCTAAATAATGCCAACCTACTTATATATATTTCTTCATTATTATATAAGGACAGTTTATCAAACGTGACATGACATTAAGTTCAGTTGGTCCTGTAAAATGCATTTGAATATAAATTAAGGAATAGCTTGCCTGGTTCATAATAATCATAAAACGTAGCAGGAGCTGGTTGAACTAAACCAATGGCCACAGTTTGCTTCGCTCCGAATGCTATACAGGCCTCACCTCCATCTATCTGAGGGTTTACAGAGAGACAAGTTCAACTACTTGGACAGATAGGGATATATGATTAACTCTGACTGCGTTTGTGCTCATTTCACCTCATTGAAGTACAATAGCACTCTTCCGCGTGTGAGCTCATAGTGAGAAATATACATGTCCACCAGGTCTTTCAGCTGTTGGAGAGAATGTTAGAGAAACAATAGAGGAAAGCAAAATGCAGAAAGACCACTTACTCCATCATAAGATACAGATGGATAACTACTAAAACAGAGGATAAAGACTAGGATTATTTTAGATAATAATATTATATATAAATACAGATATAATAATACATATTTTGAGTATAATTCCTTATTTATTAAAAAAAAGTCAAAAATCATAGGATAAGATTATGGCTGACCTTTTCTAGATCTGTACTGATTGCATCAAAGCCACTAAGTAGAGTGATGTCAGCAATGGCCATTCCAGAGAGGTTCCTGCCCTGTGTGTGACTGTGAGAGAAGACAGAGGATGCTAATAACCTCCAAAACAGCAGAACATGATTAAGATGACTGATGTTTGTTAGAAGTGCTTTTTCTCACCTGACACACACCGTATAAACCACTTCATCTTGTGTGTTTTGTGTAGTGTCTCTTTTTTGTCTGCTGCGAGCATCAAACCACTCGATTGCTGTCCGAGGGAAATCTTCCTCCTCCTTCCTCTCTTCTGCCTGCTCATAGTCATAGTAACTGTAACTTTCTTGTACTTCAGCTAAAAAAAAAAAATAATGATAATAACTGCACATTTATTTCTGCGCATCTGTGTAAATTAGGTATGAATAAAGTTAAATATATTGTTAAATTAGGTCTGAATTTTGGCTTGAATAGTTCATAACTCACTTGTGTACTCCACTTTTCCCTCGACAGTCACATTTATTGACAAGTCAGCGCAGTTGGAGTCTTCCTTAAGAGCAAAATAAGCCTTTGCCACCTACAGTAACAAAACCGAATAATCCCCATTGTAAAGACAGACAGACAGATATATTGACAGATAGATAGATGTGTGTGTGAGAAAGTGGCCCTGGTATTCCCTACATTATGGGGACCAAATGTCCCCGCAAGGCTAGTAATATCATTACATTTTGACCTTGTGGGGACATTTTGTTTTTTTGGTCCCCATGAGGAAACAAGCTTCTAAATCATACAGAATTATATTAGTTGAAAATCTAAAATAGCAGAAAGTTTTGTGTGAGGGGTAAGTTTAGGGGTAGGGTTGGGGTAAAGGAAAAGAAAACACAGTTTGTATAATGTAAATCATTACGCCTGTGGGATGTGTCCATAAAACATGGAAACCCAATGTGTGTGTGTCCTACTATTCAAAAGTTTGGCGTTAGTAAGATTGTACAATTTATGCTCACCAAGGCTGCATTTTTAAAATAAAAATACAGTAAAAACATGAATACTATGAAATATTATCACAATTTAAAATAACTGTTTTCTATTAATATAGTTTAATGTAATTTATTCCTGTGACAGCAAATCTGAATTTTCAGCATCATTTCTCCAGTCTTCAGTGTCACATGATCCTTCAGAGATCATTCTAATATGCTGATTTGGTGCTCAAGAAGCATTTATTATTACCAGTGTTGAAAAAAGTTCAGAATGTGATTGATTGATTGCTTTTTTTTATGAATACAAAGATCAAAAGTTTTTTCAAAAGTAATTTTTTGGGTCAACTGAATGCATTTTTTATATTACTGACCCCGTATACACACTGTGGAAATGTTTGTTAAACTTCTTACTTTCATTTTAGCTTTTCCTTCTCCGGAAAGGTTTACATCTATTCCCATTCCCACTAGTCTCTGAAAAGACAAAAGAGATACCATGATAAACAGATCAG